TGTTGAAACATCTCAACTGGTATTCTGCCAATTCCTGGAGGCTTGTTTTTCACCAATGCCTTCAGTGCAGCTTGGACTTCTTCCTGCAGTACCATCGGTTCCTGATCACATGTTGCCTCCTGAAATGGTTGAACATTGACTAATTCTTTTCAGTATAGTGATTCTGTGTATTCCTTCCATCTTCTTTTGATGCTTCCTGTGTTGTTTAATATTTTCCCTGTAAAATGCTTCAATATAACAACTGGAGACTTGAAATTTTTCTTCAGTTCTTCCAGCATGAGAAATGCTGAGCATGTTCTTCACTTTTGGTTTTCTATCTCCAGGTCTTTGCACATTTCATTATAATACTTTACTTTGTCTTCTTGAGCTACTGTTTGAAATCTTCTGTTCAGCTTTTTGACTTCATCATTTCTTCCTTTCGCTTTAGCTGCTCAACGTTCAAGAGCATGTTTCAGAGTCTCTTCTGACATCTATTTTGGTCTTCTCTTTCTTTCCCGTCTTTTTAATAATCCCTTGCTTTCGCCATGTATGACGTCCTTGATGTCATTCCACAGCTCTTCTGGTCTTCGGTGATTAGTGTTCAACGCATCAAATCTATTCTTGAGATGGTCTCTAAATTCAGGTGGGATGTACTCAAGGTCATACTTTGGCTCTCATGGACTTGTTCTAATTTTCTTCAGCTTCAACTTAAACTTGCATATGAGCAATTGATGGTTTGTTCTGCAGTTGGCTCCTGGCCTTGTTCTGACTGATGATATTGAGCTTTTTCATCATCTCTTTCCACAGATGTAGTCGATTTGATTCCAGTGTATTCCATCTGTCAAGGTCTACGTGTATAGTCACCGTTTATGTTGTTGAAAAAAGGTGTTTGCACTGAAGAAGTCATTGATCTTGCAAAATTCTGTCATGCAATTTCTGGCATCGTTTCTATCACCAAGGCCATATTTTGCAACAACTGATCCTTCTTCGTTTCTAACTTTTGTATTACAATCACCAGTAATTATCAATGCATCCTGATTGCATGTTCGATCAATTTCAGACTGCAGAAGCTGGTAAAAATCTTCAATTTCTTCATCTTTGGCCTTAGTGGTTGGTGCGTAAATTTAAATAATAGTCGTATTAACTGCTCTTCCTTGTAGGCATATGGATATTATCACTGATAGCATTGTACTTCAAGATAGATCTTGAAATTTTTTTTGATGATGAATGCAACACCGTTCCTCTTTGAGCTGTCATTCCCGGCACAGTAGACCAAATGATTGTCCCATTCAAAATGGCCAATACCAGCTCACTCCGTTTCAGCTCACTAATGCCTAGGATATCGATCTTTATGAGTTCCATTTCATTTTTGACTGTTTCCAATTTTCCTAGATTGATACTTCATACATTCCATGTTCCGATTATTAATGGATGTTTGCAGCTGTTTCTTCTCATTTTGAGTCCTGCCACATCAGCAAATGAAGGTCCCGAAAGCTTGACTCCACCCATGTCATTAAGGTTGACTCTACTTTGAGGAGGCAGCTCCTCCCCAGTTATCTTTTGAGTGCCTTCCAACCTGAGGGGCTCATCTTCTGGCACTATATCAGACATAGTTCCAATGCCTGCTATTCATAAGGTTTTCACTGGCTAATTCTTTTCAAAAGTAGACCTCCGGGTCCTTCTTCCTAGTCTGTCTTAGTCTGGAAGCTCAGCTGAAACCTGTCCTCCATGGGTGACCCTGCTGGAATTTGAATACCGATGGCATAGCTTCCAGCATAACAGCAACACGCAAGCCCTCACAGTACAACAAACTGACAGATGCATGGGGGAAGAAACTGACTAGCCCTGAGGAAACTAGCATGAATAATAAAATTTTTTTAATTTTAATAAAAATATGATTTGGATATATTTATTAACCACTATATAAAAGGTTTCCCTCATTTTAAAAAATACAGTATCTTTAATAAAAGTGAGGGTGGTATTAATTTCTCAGGGTTGTTGTAAGGATTAACAATGACTGACAGATGTTGATGGGAAAATACTGTTTCTAAATTATTTCCTTCAATAGTTGCCACTTATCCAAGAATACTAATAACTAACCTAAAAATAATCCATGTCCTTTTTTCTACCTATCCATTTTTTCATAATTTTTAGATATTAAACTTAGATCTTTATGGCAATGGACCAGAAGTGCCCTCACCATCTTCTTTGATGGTCCTCGTCCTTTGTCAAGCCCCTAACATGGCAGATGCAGATGCAGATGCATCTCAGCCTCCATCTTTCATAGTCTATTCCATTTATCATAGAGCTGTCTTACTGGGATAAGAATGAGCATTCTATTTTGTTCTCAATTTTTAAATATATTCAACATCAGGATACAGATACAGTGATTCCTGACTATCTATTTTCAATGAGATAATTAATGATCTATAAATAAAATCACAAATTAATAGTAATAAATATTTACAGAAATATCACTAGAGCAGGAAGAATTTAAACAGTCTTTGGAAACATAATCACTGCCAAATTTATCTTTTTAAAGTTTATATAGCATGTTCTCTTAACTTCTTTTATAAAACATAGCTAATATTGCTGTAGTTAGTTTTTAAGTATTGAAATTTCCTAAATATAATTATTTTTAAGGAAGAAGAGCTTAAAGAAGACAGAAGGGCAGAAAAAGGGGAGAGGGGAAGGATAAGAAGAAACAGAAAAAGAAAGAGAATTTTTAAATAGACTCACCTCCAACCACCTTGGTTTCTTTCTGCGTTTGACTGAATAGATTTAGACACAGAATCTTGACTTGTCAGGGGACGAGAAACTGAATGTGGTATTTGCCTTCAAAGAAATACGTCTTGTTAAATATGAATACTTTGTTTCCAAATTCAGAAACGTAAAATATACACATAATAATAGCATCAGTCAGTAATAGACATATACTCATTGGTTTATATCTTTCCACATACCTTGTGTTCATTGTTTTTGATAAAGGAGGCAACTCTGGCTTCATAGCTTCCCAGGCCCAATCTTAAAAGATATAAGTAGCATAAATAAAAGCAAGATAGATAATATTTTTCAAAATAATTATTTCATACTTATTTAATTTGGGGATTAAAAAACTTAAAGAAGAAAAATCTTGAAGATTTAGACTTGTTCTTCAATAGCACTTTGTCGTGGAATTTGTTACAGCTTACGTCATTATTTTTTCTAGATGTCTTTCTTTCCCATTATATTTTAAGTGAAAATAATAGTTTAATCAGTATCTCTTCCACAGTCAATACTAGTATAGCACCTTGTACTTTGTAAATGAATTCAGTCTAATCCAATGTTTCTCAAAATTTTTTGATCCCAACCCACAGCAAAAAATACTTTATAACCCAGAATATATATATATATGTGGTGTGTGTATGTGTGTGTGTGTAGAGGTGGAGAAAGAATATCGCAAAATTTTCACCATTAATTCTTGCCCTTATCATCTGTGATGCACTCTGGTATTTGCTATTCTATTATAGTTTAATTTTTTTCTAAATAGTTATTTTAAAGAATAGTTGTATCTCACCCTGCCTAACAGATTAAGACAAAAATTAGAAAAACCCTGCACAGTGCAAATGGTTAAGCGCTGGACTAAGTGAAAGACTGGCAGTTCAGACCACCCCCCACCCCCCACCAGAGGAGCTTTAGAAGAAAGGCCTAGTGAAAGTTCACAGCCTTGAAAATCCTATGGAGTGCAGTTCTACTCTGCAAACATGGGGTTGCCGTGAGTCGGAACCGAATTGATGGCATCTGGTTTGGTTTGGTTTTGGTCCTATCTCCTATCCAATATTAGAATCTCATCTTTAATATCTGACAGGTAGTAAACCTGGTCAGAGCTTGGAGAGTTCAGAGCTTCAGCAGGAAGCACATTTCCTATGGAGCAGCTCAAATTGTTATTTTTCAAGGTCAACATTTATGCTGCTTATAAAATTTTTTTTAAATGATGGAGAATTTTTTAAATTGTGTAAGATGAACAGGTAAATGCTACTTATACATATTTATGTGAATTTCTAATTTTTTGTCCATAAACATGGAATGTGTATGAACTTCATACCTCAAATTCCTCAAATATGGAAGAAAACAAAATTATAGATTTGGAAGTAGATTAATGCCTATGGGTGTACACTGGATGAAATTAACGACGTAAGTATTGCTATCTATATTTTTAAAATTCTAGTTGCATAAGATTCTATTAATATTTTTAAAGCCGAGTTCCAAAAAATGTAAAAATATATAACCAGTATGTACCAAGCATATTTCAGAATGTCTGCCTGCCCGCCCAGGCCTTCTCCAGAGGGGAGTAAGTAGTCAGCAAACCTTATGACCTCCTAGCACCCACCACCATAACTAATTGATTCAGAGAGTGAGAGGCCTAAATATAATCTAAGCCAGGATTTGGGTGGCCTCACTTAAAACCATGAGCTGAGTCTCCCTCCTCTAGGGTTTTAATCAAGAGATAGAGAAGGCAGTCAGCAATGGACTCAGAACTACAACTAAAATGTTATGTAAACTCCCAGCAAGGGCAATATAGTTAATGTGCTAGTAGAAGCTCTAAGGAAGCCAACTGAATGAAAGTAAAGAGCCAACAAAGGAAGAAGGGCAAAAATGCTAGAAGAGAAAACAGTCTACTGCCAAGTCCCAGAAATTCATGGGTTTCTGCCCTTCCTGAGGTCTACACTTTTCCGTGTTTCCCGTGTTTCTATGCACACTTATTCTTGTTCCTGAGACAATTGTAATCTCTCTGTTCTTTACCACCAAATGCCTAAGTCACAATAACCATATGTGGTTTGAAAAAGGAAAAAAAAAATCTTTACAATGTAGGCTACTACTTCAATAGAACAAAGGCTCCAGATCTAAGGTACTCCATTTAAATGCTAAGCCACCCTTGTAAACAAGGAAACTAAAGAATGTTGAGAAACAGCCAAGTAATCTCTATATTTGGATAGTGAAAAAAATAAAAATGGTAATAAAGTACATTTTCTTTATTCATATAGTAATACAGAAATGGTAATTGTCTATAATCCTAGTTCTTACTTTCTGAAATTTTTCACCTTACTTATTTTCTTACCTGCTGGTAAAGGTGGGAAATCATAACTGTCAGAAGCAGTGCTGATATTTGGGTCATTTTTAAGTGGATTAGAAGTTAATGGCTGTCTGTTCCTCTTTTTCTGATTGAACAATGGTACAGGCAAACAGCCTAAATTGAACATACCAATAAATTAGGACATAATAGGCAAATAGCCAGATCTAGTTACAAAATAATTACTAGTATGTAATAATACGTAATTTGAATTTGTCTACTTCTATATGCCAAATTTATATTTATTATAGATATATTTCTATATGTTTTAACTGATTCTTACATTCTTTTTAAGATCCTGACTAGTCTCATTTGTCTCTCTAAAAAGTCCTTCATTGTTCTACCGTAACATTTGCTCTCATTACCTCTTGATTTGAAAGTAATTCCCGTCTCCTCCCTCACTCCCAACTCTTTCCAAACTTACTTTTTGTTTTTCTATTTCCCTCCTCTGTGCTTGCCTATTACCATTTCAACCAGAGAAGAACCTTCAAGTACAATGGAAGTGAGGGAGAACCACACCTGTGCCTTCCAAAACCCTAACCTATCTTTGGACTATGGTGGCACACCCTTTAGGGTCATGGTTCTCAGACTTTCATTTGCCTAAGACTCATCTTTCTGCTTACTATGCAGGTTCCTGGAAATACACCTTCACAGATTTTTTGGTCTAGAACCCAAATTTTACAATTTTAACACACTCCCCAGTTGTCTGTAATACATATGTTCTGTGGATCACTTTGAGAATGCCCTAGAGATTGGTAACATCCAGCCCAGAAGAGAATAATTACTACTACCAACCCCTCCATGTGGGAGACCTGGGTCTCAAGTCAGGCCAAAAGTCAGAATTCATAAACTGTAAAACTAGAAAGGAATTCAGAAGAAAAAGAAGTCCAAAAAGCTTGCCCACTGTCACAGAGCAAGCAAGTGGAAGAACTCAGATTAAGACCCAAGCTTCCTAAATCTCAGTTTAGATCTCTTGCCACTGATACCATGCTCTAGCTGGTCCACCACCACTTGTACCATAGGAGAATGTAGACTCTGTGATCAGGTCTCTGATGAAAGGCTGGGAGAATGATGTGGGTGCTGGAGTTAGACTGCCTAGGTTTGAATTACAACTTCAAGGTATGAAAACATCAAATTGGGTTTGAATTATAACCTCAAAGTACAAACTTGGGCAATTTCTCTAAACTCTTTGGGACAGTATTCCAAACACTAAGAGGGAGGGTATCATAGTGATTAAGAGCTTGGACTGCAGAGCCAGATCCCTAGGTCCAAACCCTGGCCCTGCCACTTACTAGATTATTTAACCTTTCTGTGTATCAGATTCTCATCTGGATGAGATGAGATATACGATGATAATAATAATACTTATCTCAGAGGGGTGGTACAAAGATTAAATGAATTAATATGTATAGTTAAATATCTAGACTACAGTACATACACCACAAATAATATCTATATACCAATAATTATATAATCCTTATGCTAATAAAATGGTAAAGCAGAGATGGTAGAAGAAGCTGTTAGGGAGACAGAAGTGCTTCTGAAAATATTTTGAAAAATTCACAAATACAAAGAAAAAGAAATCTGTTTCTTTGTTTCTAGCTTAAAACCACAAAACAACTCAAGCACATAGGGTGTGTAGAAAAAACACTAGAGTAAATCCAGGAAATTTTGATTCTACCCCCACCTCTGCCACTAAATGTTTTACCTTGAGAAAGTCATTTCATTTCCTTGAGCCTAAAAAAAAAAGACGCTAGACTAGATGTTCAAACTTTTTAGAAGTTTCTTCCAAAATATTCCATCTATAAACTATACAAGCCTTATACAATATACCAAAAACATAGAAAAATTAAAAATAAAATTTGTTCAATACCTGCTGTACTTCGAGTTGAATTTTCATTTAAGTTTCTCTTCATTTCCTTTACAATACCAAGGTCTATTATTTCTTTCTTGAGCACTCCAAATTTACAACATGAAGTTGTTTGACTAAACCTTCAAAGAAAAACACTTGTGACTCGTTATATGAACAATAATGGACTATAGCATTGGCAAATTTATACGCTTACAAGGCCAGAAAGAAAACATATACGATTGAACCAGTCATGAGAAAGTACATCCTGTGTCCCACTTTAAAATGCTGTGCAGATTATCCATTTTGGCCATTTATTTGAGACCCCTGAATTGTATAATATCCAGGATTAAAGCCTCACTTAATCTCCAGAAGAACTGTAATGACAAGTTTCCACTCAGTTTCGGTAATTTCAACAAGTGAAACAAGTTTTGTTTTTTTCTTTCACAACAAAATTTCTGTTGTAATTTGTTCCACATATAGCTTCAATATGTTTCAACCCCAATTCAATTCAACAAACATCTATTATGTGAAAAGGCAACATACAAATCTAAATAAGGTCATCACTACTCCCAAGTTCACTATCCAATGAGGCAAATATATGTGAACACAACTAATACCCACAAATCAGACTGAAGTAAATACTAATTTCTAAACATTGTTTTTGGAAATAAAATGTGGGAAGCATGAGGTCAGGGACTCCTTCTGCTTTGTTTCCGTATCTTGGGCTTTATACTGGATATTAAAAAAAAAAAAAAGTTGCCATCCAGTCCATTCTGACTCATAAGTGACTCCACGGGACAGAGTAGAACAGCCCCATAGGGTTTCCAAGAAGCGGCTGGTAGATTGGAACTGTGGACCTTTTGGTTAGCAGCCAAACGCTTAACTACTTGCGCCACCAGGGCTCCTATACCGGATATGGGGTAACACAGGATGCTTGCCTCCAGGGTCAGTGGTCCAGGGGGAAAATATTGCACTTTGTTGTTTTTCTTTTGTTTGATACTCAGAAACTTAACAGCGCCCCCTACCCTCCCCTTAGGATGTGAAATATTAGAAAATATTCCTGGTGTCATTCCAACGACCAAAACAGAGGTTATGTGACTTTTCCTCAAAATAGTAAAACCACCCTAAATCAGGAGGATGGGGGAGGTTACAAGGGCTATTAATGTTTCTGAGCATCATGTAAACAAAAGAAAAACAACAAAAAAATGCAATATCCTCCCCCTGGACCACTGACCCTGGAGGCAGGGACCCTGCGTTGCCCCCCATCCCAGCTTCCAATTAGACCCGAAAATTTCATTTATGTGATTGGTGCCTCCATGTACAAAGTTTGCTCTGTCTGCAAATACACAGAGAAAGAGAGACAAAAAGCCGTGAAGTCAGTGGCCTCAGATGGAGAGGCAAGGGAGACTTAATTTGGCCCTTCATGGGAAAAAAAGCTCCAGAGGGGTTGAGGGTCAGTCCAACCAGGGCTCGTGTTTTCATCCAGCAACCTCCTGTGCCAGGGCTCTGGGCAGTTTGGGAACTAGGGTCAAGGCACCGTCTTTCCCTTCTTGGTCCTCCTGCCAACACAATACGCAACTTTAACCTTCAGGTTCCCTCGCCTCAGTCAACCATCAACCGTCAACCGTCAACCGTCCGGAAGACCGCCCAGTCAGCCACCGCCCGCCTTCTTGCCTCCCGAAAAGCGCGGGAAATCGGGCGTGCGCAGGCGCACTTTGAGCCCGCGTTGGCAAGCCTCAACCCGGCGCTGCCCAGCACGCAGGCGCACCCACCACCGTGGCCTCGGTGGCGTAGTGGTCTTAGTGGGTCTGTCCGGAACTCGGCTGAGGAAAGTCAGACAGGAGAAAAAGACGCTTGCCCCCTCACGCAGGAGCGATAACAGTAACGCACGAGCCCTTATGTTCTGACACCGTGACGTACGCGGTGCATAATGGCGCTACCAAAGAGGAAAGAGGGAAGAAGCCGGTGCCCAGTCGCCAGTGAGATAGTGGCCTATCTCCTGCCCAGCCTGGCCTCTGCCCCAGATTTGTCAGAAAACAGTGCCCAGGCCTGGCCATACAGCACCCTCCCCGTACCCCACGGTCATTTCTTAGGTTCTAGACACCAGTCTTGAAGATGGTGGTGGCAACCCAGAGTGTGCCTAGAAGAGAATGGCTCAAAGTCACAGGCATCTCAACCACCAGGTATTTTGTTTGGTTCAGCTGAGTTTCTGAGTCACATCAGTCTGACAGGGAATTACCAGAAAGAGGCCCCAGAAGGCCAGTGGCAGAGCTGAGTCTTGGGCTTAGATGACAGCAGTGCAAGATGGAGCAGTCAGTGAGGGCGGCCAGTGCTGCCAGAGCTCAGGGGAGGGAATGACCACATGTGCCTCAGGAAGGGGGAGCCCTTCTGAGGAAACAGAATGGTGGTGACTGAGAACTCTGATCTCTGAGGCAGTCTGAGGCTGACAGACTGCCATCCTGGCCCTCTCTAAACCTATGTTTCTCTCCTCAGTAAAAAGAGAAAATGGATTGTCTCCGGCACGCAATAAGTGCTTAACAAATGTTAGCCCTTATTTAATAATAGTAGCTACCATTTATTGAATACTTAGTATGGGTCTGGAGTCCCTGGGTGATGCAAACAGTTAAGAGCTTAGCTATTAATCAAAAGGTTGGAGGTTTGAGTCTACCCAGAGATGCCTCAGAATAAAGGCCTGGCAATCTACTTCTGAAAAATCAGCCACTGAAACCCCTATGAAGCACATTTCTTCGCCATGAGTCAGAATTGGGGAGCTGGTTTGGTTTTTTTTTTTTGTTTTTTTCCCCTACTATGAACCAGGTATAGTAATTTCTAGTTCTGTCTGAGTTCCAACATCATGTTTTGTTACCATATCTTCTGACCATTTTGAAGACTGGGATAAGTGAAAGAAAGAGGGACAGGGCTCAAAGACAAATGGTGTTAGTAAAGCCCTAGGACTGTGAAAACATGAGATGTATTAGTAGGGTTTTTTTTTTTTTTTTGAAATTAGGTCAAATGCAAAAAAATGTTAGGAGATATGATTATAGGTAGGTTGAGACCAGATGATAGAGGATCCTGAATGCCAGCCTAAGGAAAAAGCTTTGAAGGAATAGGGTCATCTTTTAATGTGGAAAGGAGAAGACTTCAGACGATAAAATACCTGAAAAGACTTGTTATTCATCATAGCTCTACAAAGAAGGCTCACCAAAAAATGAGTAGAAGGTTCAGGAAACATATTTTGATCTGATACATACATATTTTATTTAAAAAAAAACACTTTTGCCTACTATGAGCAACATCTTGTGTTACATTTATAAGATGTAGACCTGAAAAATGTGGAATTTTGCCAGCAGTTTACAAACATATATATTCTATCCCTATCTTATTCAGGTTATCATTTATTTCTACCTAGAAAGTTGGTCAGAATGGGCTACAGCCATAGGGCTGTAATCCGTTGCCGTCGAGTTGATTCCGACTCATAGCAACCCAGTAGGACAGAGTAGAACTGCCTCATAGGGTTTCCAAGGAGCGGCTGGTGGATTCGAGCTGCTGACATTTTGATCAGCAGCCGAGCTCTTAACCACTGTGCCACCAGGGCTCCAAAGTACTGAAAGTAGTTTGATTATATGATTTCTGGACAAACACACTATGTACGAGGCACTTTAGGTATAATATTAGAAAGAAGACCCTCCTTATCCCCCTACCATATTATTTTGGATCAACTTCACCTTGAATTTGTCTTCTTCAAAATTTCTGGCATCAATCTATTGGACAGCCATGACTATGAAGAAAAAATTTGCTCTCTTTTTGTTTTAAACTACATTATTTTATTAATAAATCAAGTGCCTCTGTCACCACAAAACATTTGCAGTGCTGTAAGTTATTAGGCTTATTCTTTTAAGAACTTCAGAACATTAAATATTCAATCTCATAGCTAGATAATGACAACTAGAAAGGTTTCACTTTGCATATCAGTTCTCTGAACTCTCAAGAACTAGACTAAAAATTTGAAGGTTTTGTGGATCCTGAAAATTTACTGTACTTTGGGAAGCAGGGAGTTAAAAATCTTTCGGAAGTTAACTTGGTATAAGAGTATGAAAAGCCTCTGTTGCTCTAGTTCTAAGGAAATGCTCTCCTTTTTTTCTAATAAAGCTTTCCACAGAAGACAAACTCTGTACACAATAAACAAGGTAAGTATAGGACAGAATTACTGTAATTTATTAACTCTCAAAAAAGTTATTTACTCTGACGTGTAAGAGAAACTTACTTTATGAATGTTAAATGTATTTCAAAGTGCTGATCTGTTGAGATTCCATAAAACAAGCCTCAAAATGCAAGTCATTTGAGCCCACTACGAGTAAAGAGCTGAAGCAGCATTTCCAAAGAGACTAGGGCAAAGAACAAAACTAACTACAAATCGGCAGAAAAGAAACAAAACATAATCAAGTGTTAATAATTCACCATTTAGTTTTACTGCTCCTAAAACCAAAATAAGTAAACAAGACAACTATCATCTACTTACATTCACATGTGTTTTCACAATCTCTACATTGTTTGAAATGTTCAGCGTACATCAGTGTGGGTAGAAATATCAAAGGTTATAGGGGCTTTTTCTTAGATTGGAACATTAATGTTAATGTGTAAATTTAGATTTTGTTGTTTGGCTTTCTCTCTGTCTGCATTATAATCTCTTAAAGGAAGAACACAGGAGTTAGTTTATTAACTATTATGAGGTGTTTACATTTTATATTTCCATCATGTATTTTATTTGTATGTTTGTTTATTTCCTGAGCACACTGTAGTGAGTATTTATGCAAATTCTGAAAGGGAAAAACTAGAACTTTGGGGAAGGCCAAAAATAACAGGGAGACGTTCTATTGTCATGTGAAAAAATATTGGGCTTTGAGACAGAAAACCTGAGTCCCGGCCTAGTTCTGCTCCTAGATAGCTGCAGAATCTTAATCAAGTTGTTTAAACTCTCTTTCCTTTACTGCTGCAATGGGAATGTCAATATCTAACCCACCCTATCTTACAAAACAAATGTATAAATAAACTGAGAGGACATAT